CACACACACATGTGTGTTCCGGAAAGGGCAGTACCCATGATGGTCACTGACAAATTTTCTGTTCATTGGCAAGCAGGGGCCATGATTTAAGTTGTTTACGGGTGGAGTGTATGTGATGTGTTGTTGTGGTGGAGCACAAACATTTGTGTAGCAAGACTATGATGTTAAGACGTATCATGCTCATGGTGTCGCTGCAACTACCCAGGTTTAGCCTTGGATTGCCGCTTTTGCTGTTTTTGTTCCTGTTGTTCCTGTTGTTGTTGTTGTCGCAATTCGGTGCACCCAGGTAGCCCAGAAGTGTTGTTTAGTTGTGCTTCTTCTATTTGTGGTGTTGTTGGTGAACGCGCAGATGTGTGTTCCCAAAAAGTATATGCTCATGATGGTTTTTGTTTTTTTTGGCACAGGGGCCAGGACCAAAATTGATGACAAATGCTGGTGTTGTGTTTGGGGTGGGGGCATGCTGTTGTATTGTTGGACAACACAAACATGTGTGTAGCAAGACATATGATGTTCATGATGTTGTTGCAGCTGCCCTATTTTACTGTTGGGCGGCTGTTGCTGTTTCTGCTGTTTCTGCTGTTGTTGCAGTTCGGTGTTGTCCTAAACCTGCCGAGTTCTGATTTTGGTGTTGTTAGTGAAGACACACATGTGTGTTCCCAAACAGGCAATGCTCATGTTGTATCTTGTTTGAGGTTGAACACAAACATGTGTGTAGCGAGTCATACGATGCTCAAGCTGTGCTGTTTCATGGGTAGGTAGGGGCCACCACCAAAATTTGCTACAAATGCTGGTGTGTTTGAGGTGTACTTTATGTGGTGTTGTTGGTGAACACACACATGTGTGTGTAGCAAAGCAAACCAGGCGATGCCCAGAAGTGTTGCTTAGCTGTGCTTGTGCTATCTGTGGTGTTGGTTGTGTGTTCCCAAAGGGGCCAGGACCAAAACTGCTCACAAACGCTGGTGTTGTGTTTGGGGTGGGGGCATATTGTGGTATTGCTGGACAACACAGACAACCTTATGCTTTGCTACACACATGTGTGTGTTCACCAACAATAGCACAAGCAGCCCACCCCAAACACACCAGCATTTGTAGGCAATTTTGGTGCTGGCCCCCGCTTGCCCATAAATCCGCAAGAAAATAACAAGAACCATGACTTTGTGGTAACAACACCACATATAGAAGAACCACTGCACAGCAATCCTTCTGGGCTACTTGGGCATCTGTTCAAAAGCAGCTGTAAACCAACACCGGACTGCAACAACAGCAAAAGCAGCAGGCCAACACAAAAACATTGCAGCCGCAACAACAACATCTACCTGGGGGCACCGAGTTGCAACAACGACGACTCGAACAGCAGGAACAAAAGCAGCAAAAGCGGCAATCCAAGGCTAAAGCTGGGTAGGTGCAGCGACACCATGAGCATGATACGTCTTAACATCATATGTCTTGCTACACAAATGTTTGTGCTCCACCACAACAACACATCACATACACTCCGCCCGTAGACAATGGCCCCTGCTTGCCAATAAACAGAAAATTTAACAGTGACCATCATGGGCACTGCCTTTTCCGGAACACACATGTGTGTGTGCTCACCAACTACACCACATAGAAAAGAACCATCGCAAAGCAGGACTTGGCAGTTTCCAAGTTCGGTGTTGTCCTAAACCTGCCGAGCCGGTTGTTCTGACTTTGGTGTTGTCAGTGAAGACACACATTTGTGTTTCCAAACAGGTAATGCTCATGTTGTATCTTGTTTTTTTCTTGCTCTGTTATTGGCAACCAGGGGCCGAAACCCAAATTGCTAAATGCTGATGTGGTTGGGGTGGGCTGTATCTGACATACTGCAGGTGGTATTCCTCATGAACACAGTCATGTGTCTGGCAAGAGCATATGATGCTCATGATGTTGCTACAACTGCCCGGCTTCAGTGTTGGAGTGCTGCTGGTGCTGCTGCTGTTGCTGCTGCAGTTCGGTGTGGGTTAACAGTCCGTTCTAAACAAAGGGCCGAAGAAGACCAACAATCTTGGTTTGCTGTTGTTTCTTCCTGTCTGGTTTGGTTGGCGAGCACAAACACTTGTGTGCTCGCAAAAAAATTCTCATGATGGTTTTGGCTGTTTTGTGTTGTTTTGTGGGCAGGTAGGGGCCCGGTAGGGGCCAAGAGTAAAACTGCATACCAATGCTGAGGTGTTTCGGGAAGGCTGTTACTGCACCCGGGGTTTAGTGCTGGGCTGCTGCTGCTGTTGCTGTTGTTGTTGCTGCCGCATTTCGTTGTGGGTTTGCTCTGTTGGGGTCGGTTTCTGTGTGATGTTGTTGGTGAACACACACATGTGTTTCCAAACAGGCAACGCTCACGATGTACATATGTTGTTGTTTTGTTGTTGCCTTCTTGGGCAAGCAAGGGCCAACACGAAAACTGCCACAAATGTTCGTGTGTTTGGGGTGGGCTTTCTGTGGAGTGGTTGCTGAACACGAACATGTGTGTAGCAAAACATATGATGGCATGATGTCGTTGCAGCTGCCCTGTCTCCAAATGTTCGTGGGTTTCGGGCGGGCTGTATGTGATGTGGTCTTGTGGTTGCACACTAGCAGGACTTTTGATTTTCGTGAATGCTCATTTCTTTTTTATTGCTGTTTTGTGGCTAAGACGGCTACGTCTAAAATTGTTATCATGGATGTCTGCAAAGTCTGCCTGCTTCCAGCAACAAATTAGTAACTTGCATCCAAGTCCCAAGCGATCCCAAGCGTTCTCGTGCCATGCTCGCCGCGCTCGTGTTTGGGGTGTTCTTCGCTTGTGGTGTGCGTGCCCAGCCGCCCCCAAACCCTGTCGACGAGTTCGTCGATATGGCCTTGGCTCTGTACGCAGCATTGCCGGACTGTGTTCTGGATCAATGGCCACTGGGTTGACCTCACTGTGCCGGCTGTTGGACAGGAAGATCCTTTGCAACAACTTTGCGCGCAGCTTGTGCCAGATCCCGAGGCCGAGGAGGCTCACCTCACTGTGGCAGCCGTGGTGGAATGGTGAGATTGGGTCAACATCGAGACGAGTTGCTCCAGTTTTGCCGTCTCTGGGCAACCATTCGCAAGGTCTTCGGGCCTGGCCCTCCAGACTGTTTCTGTTCCACGTGCCTTGAATTGTGGACCAAGCGTTCACAATGCAGGCACTGCCTGCAAATCTCAACAAGACACGGGCACAAGTGTGGCCTGACTTCTGTCACGTCGTATTACCGGCGGTTTCAAGGATCCAAGGATTCCGCCCGGTTCAACCGCTACTTGCGTCGAGTGGCGCATGGCTCCACCGAAACCATTGCCAAACGGGAGACGGACGTGGAGAACAACATTCTGGAAACCAAGCGAAAACAACGTGCCTGGGAGCAAAAGAGAAAGGACGAGGCAGATCAAATCTTGATCACCAACAGCTCGGCCATCGCTGAGTCGGTGGAAAAAGTCACGAAACAATGGGAGAAAGACACCGGCCTGTCTGCTCCCTCCAAGGCTGGCCGTTTACAGGACGGGTGTTTCAAATGTTCCCCGAATAAATGCCTCAGCTTTCAGACATGCGTGTCGCAAAACTGACACTGTCAAAAATCTTGAACATGTGTGTCACAAAATTGACATTGTCAAAACTCTAAGACACATGTGTCACCAAATTGACACGGTCAAAACTTTTAAGACATGTGTTTCACAAGTTACAGTGTCAGAACTTGGAGAGATGTGTGTCACAAAGCTGACACTGTGAAACTTTAGGAATTGTGTGTGTCACAAAACTGACACCGTCAAAAATTTTAGATATGTGTTTCGCCAAAATGACGCTGTCCAAACTTTAAGACATGTGTGTGTCACAAAACTGACACTGTCAAAACTTGAAGACATGTGTGTCACAAAATTGACAGTGTCCAAACTCTAGAACATGTGTATCACAAAATGGACACCGTCACAACTCTAAGACACGTGTGTCACCAACCCGACACGGTCAATCCTTTCAGGACATGGTTGTCACAAAACTGACACTGTCAAATTTTTAACAGATGCATGCCACAAAACAGGCAATGTCACAGCTTTTAGATATCTTTGTCGCAAAACTGACACTGTCAAAACTTGAAAAAATGTGTGTCACAAAACTGACACGGCCAAAACTTTAAAAGATGTGTGTTGCAAGACTGACACAAAACTCTCAGACATGTGTGTCACGAACTTGACACTGTCAAAACTTGAAGACATGTGTGTGATAAAACTGTCAAAATGTGAGGATGTGTGGGTTGCCAAACTGACACTGTGAAAACTTTCAGACACGTGTGTCGCACAACGGACACTGTCAAACCTTAGGACATGTGTGGCACAAAACTGTCAAAACTTGAGGATGTTTGCGTCACAGAACTGACACTGTAAAACTGTCAGACATGAGTGTCGCAAATCTGGCACGGTCCAAGCCTTAGGACATGCGTGTCACAAAACTTTCAAAACATGTGTGCCGCAAAACGGAAACATGGTCAAAACTTTCAGACATGTGTGTCGCCAACCGGACACTGTCGAAAACTCTGCACAGACCCAGGGTTGCGAGCTGATTTGAGCGTTTTTGAATCTAGGCTCATGCCACCGAAAGGCAAAAAAGTCTCATTGAGCACCAAACCCCCAATCCTTTCAAACTTTCAAGCCCCCCCCCCCCCTACAGCCCCAAAAGCCCCCCGAATTCCTTTGAGACTCCCCAAAGGCCATCCTCCAGCTCGAGCAGCCGAAGGTGTCCCTTTTGGAGGGTTTTTGTTAGGTGAGGGCTTGAATTAAGTGCTGTTTTTCCGTTGCGGTTTAGGGTATTCGGGTTTCGGGGTGCAGGGATTTTGGAAGTTTGCAGGTTTACAACTTACTGCCCTCCCATGGGTATTGCGCAAAGTGGGGAGCTGGTCTGTGGGTTCGGGGGTTTGCGGTTGAGGAGTTTCAGCCGGCAGCCAAAATGAACATGCTCATCAAGACACTCCGAAACGCCGCAATCGAGGACCCTGAGGACCCCTGCTGAGCCAAAACCTGAAACCGAAAGTCCTCAAACCAACTGCCTTCATAGCCCTAATACCTAAACCCTGAACCTCGAGCCTCAGCGCTCAATGCGTTCCAGGGGGGCCCGGAGTGCTGCTGCTGACTCAAAGCCCCGCGCTTAACAGCGCCTTCGAAGCTGGATTCTCTAGGTTCTTTATAGCGTGCCCTGAGCGGATAACTTGGAAGTGGAGCTTCCGGGTTGAGAAAGTTGAGGGTTAGAGCACTGTGACTGTAACATGCCATTGTGCTTGAGCCCGAGATCCCAATCCGCTCCGTCTGAAGAAGAAGATTCTGAAGTCCATGTTGTTCGCGAAGAAAGGGGGGTTGGGTTGTTTGGCCATGGCAGGGTACAGCAGTGCCGACTTCGGCATGCCAACTGCGTAGCTCCAATCAACGTCCAATGACGGGCTTAAGTTGAGGACTTCGCAGATGTCTTAGTCTTAGACGTTCGGAAGGACACAATGCTCAGTTGCTAGACCCTAAACGTGAAACGCGACACCATCGTTCTTTTCTGCAGTAGGGCTTAATCAAGGACTTCATAAAATCCGCGGCCATGAACTACTTCTCAGCGCTTTCAGGTAGCATGAAAGAGAATGCATGTTCTTCTTTGGATTCCCTAGGTAATTGGTTTCAATGTATTCTGTGATCTACTGTAGCACCAGAAGCCATTCTGATCACGAGGCTTTTGCGAAGCCCGAAGCAAGCCCGAACCCTAACACCCTAACCCTAAACCACTCCAAGCCCTTGATGCAACATCCATAAACCTCAAGTCTTCGCCCCGAAATTCCATGGGCCTCCGAGCCAACATGCCGCAAAAAAGCCCCGAACCCAAACTCCCAGAAGCCCTGACCCCTAAAACTCAACGAACCCCCGAATCCTAAACCCTACCGAAAACCCCCAAACCGTAGCCTGACCCGCCTTCCAACCCGAAACGGCCTTCTTGAATCCATGATAAGGCCCTTATTTAAAGCCATCTCATCGAGAACCCGAGGCCCTCGTCCGAGTCCGGCAGCCGACTCGACTCGCGGGGAAAGCGACCGGGCGGCACGGGTTCTACAGGGCTTTGAGTTTGGGCTTTGGGGGTGTTCAGTCAGGGCTTTGATGGTCTAGGGTGTCGGGGTGTTGTGTTTAGGGAAGGCACTGCAGATTTTTGGGATCTTGGGATCAGCGAGCCGTTTGTACATGCGAAAGTACTGGTACATGCATATGTACACAGATGCAAGCATACGTACGAACACACATACATCACACATACATGCATGCATATGACGTCCATGCATTCATGCACCTGTACACATCTGTACACTCATGCATGAATATCTACATATCTCTTTGTTCATGTATACCTATACTTGCGACCTTCGGTGTTCTCGTGCCTTTATAGTGTGTTGCTCCAATACAACCCCCTGTTGAAGTGCATGCCAAGAAAGGAACTTTCAGGACGTAGAGCCTTTGGGGGTTTGGGAAGGGGAGTCTTTACGTCCCTGCTTCTTAGCTAGGAAGCGCACCGAATCTGCTGCTTCGGGCCCGCTGCTTCGAGACTTGACAAGCCCTGACTCTTGAGCCCGACAGAACCCGGAAACCCAAACCCATGAACCCTCAATGAAACACTCCTTTAAGGAGATCTTGAACGGAATCGTTCCCCGACATGCCTGAAATCCTTAACCCAATTCCTAAATCCCTAAACCCCTAAACCCCCCATAGCTTACACCCCTAAACCCCTGAAGCCCTAAACCCTAAGAAACACCAAGAAAAACCCCGAGAGGCAAGGCTCTGGGCTCGGAAGCCGGGGCGGCTCGCGGCAAGGGAAGAGGGGGCACTCTGAGCTGCAATTTTTTTAGGGGCCTCGAGAGTTACAAATAGTATCTTGGGGGGTTCCTTAACTTTGAATAAGATAGAGGTTTGGCCTAGGAGTTTAGGGTGTCGGTGGTTGGGGCCTAGATGGTTGCCAATATTTTTTTTTGTTTTTTTTTTGGGGGGGGTCCTTGTTATGAATGTAGTATAACGGGCCCCAAAACCCTGTTCGAATGATTAAGGCCCCCTACAGTACCCCTTTCTGCTGGGTTTGGGGGGTTAGGGGTGTTAATTGTGTTTATAGCGGTTTAACGAGGTTATACCAGAGCTCGAATATTTTGTTTGAAGTTAGGGTTCAGGGTAGGGTCTTGTGACCTGTAGAAAAAATTACCCGCAAAGGATTCTCGAGAGCAAGATTTTCACCAGGGGGGTATGGTGCTGATCTCTATGTTGGCTGCACAGCCGCGTGGCATCCAGCCTCATGCACAGAGGCTTTGACTCCTCGATGGCTCCTCCCCATGCCCCACGCATCATGTGCAAGAGCGGGAGCCTCTGTGTGGGTCAACCAGGTCCTTAACCGCGCATCATGGCGAGCATCATGTGCATCAGTTGGGCCAGTCCTGACCAAACCAAACCCTAAACCGCACATCATGGCGAGCATCAGGTGCATCAGCTGGGCCGTTCCTGCCCAAACCAGCTTCTTCTCAACCGCGTACATGCCGAGCATCATGTGTATCAGTTGGGCCAGTCCTGACCAAACCAAACCCTAAACCGCGCATCATGGCGAGCATCAGGTGCATCAGCTGGAGCCGTGGTGCCCAAACCAGCTTCTCAACCGCGAACATGGCGAGCATCATGTGCATCAGTTGCGCCAATCCTGACCAAACCAAACCCTAGACCGTGCATCATGGCGAGCATCAGGTGCATCAGCTGGGCCGTTCCTGGCCAAACCTGGTTCCTAACCACGCATCACGGCGAGCATCATGTGCATCAGCTGGGCCGCGCATGGAGCCGTACTCGCCAAACCAGCTTCTCAACCGCGTACATTCCGAGCATCATGTGCATCAGTTGGGCCAGTCCTGACCAAACCAAACCCTAAACCGCGCATCATGGCGAGCATCAAGTGCATCAGCTGGGCCGTTCCTGGCCAAACCTGGTTCCTAACCACGCATCACGGCGAGCATCGTGTGCATCAGCTGGAGCCGTGCTGCCCAAACCAGCTTCTCAACCGCGTACATTGGCGTATATGCCGAGCATCATGTGCATCAGTTTGGCCAGTCCTGACCAAACCAAACCCTGAACCGCGCATCATGGCGAGCATCAGGTGCATCAGCTGGGCCGGTCCTGGCCAAACCTGGTTCCTAACTACGCATCACGGCGAGCATCATGTGCATCAGCTGGAGCCGTGGTGCCCAAACCAGCTTCTCAACCGCGTACATGCCGAGCATCATGTGCATCAGATGGGCCAGTCCTGACCAAACCAAACCCTAAGCTGCGCCTCATGGCGAGCATCACGTGCATCAACCGGGCCGTTCCTGGCCAAACCTGGTTCCTAACCACGCATCACGGCGAGCATCATGTGCATCAGCTGGAGCCGCGGTGCCCAAACCAGCTTCTTCTCAACCGCGTACATGCCGAGCATCATGTGCATCAGTTGGGCCAGTCCTGACCAAACCAAACCCTAAACCGCGCATCATGGCGAGCATCAGGTACATCAGCTGGGCCGTTCCTGGCCAAACCTGGTTCCTAACCACGCATCACGACGAGCATCATGTGCATCAGCTGGAGCCGTGGTGCCCAAACCAGCTTCTCAACCGCGTACACGGGCGTACATGCCGAGCATCATGTGCATCAGTTGGGCCAGTTTTGAACAAACCAAACCCTAAACCGCGCATCATGGCGAGCATCAGGTGCATCAGCTGGGCCGGTCCTGGCCAAACCTGGTTCCTAACTACCCATCACGGCGAGCATTAAGTGCATCAGCTGGAGCCGTGGTGCCCAAACCAGCTTCTCAACCGCGTACATGCCGAGCATCATGGCGAGCATCACGTGCATCAGCCGGGCCGTTCCTGGCCAAACCCGGTTCCTAACCACGCATCACGGCGAGCATCGTGCGCATCAGCTGGAACCGTGGTGCCCAAACCAGCTTCTCAACCGCGTACATGCCGAGCATCATGTGCATCAGTTTGGCCAGTCCTGACCAAACCAAACCCTAAACCGCGCATCATGGCGAGCATCAAGTGCATCAGCTGGGCCGTTCCTGGCCAAACCTGGTTTCTAACCACGCATCACGGCGAGCATCATGTGCATCAGCTGGGCCGCGCATGGAGCCGTGCTCGCCAAACTAGCTTCTGAACCGCATACATGCCGAGCATCATGTGCATCAGTTGGGGCAAATTTGAAACCAAAGTAGGTTCTAATCCGTGCATCATGGCGAGCATCATGTGATCAGCTGGGCCGTTGCTGGCAAAATCTGGTTCGTAACCGCGCATCATGGTGAGAGCCTTGTCACGTTCTTGACCGCACATCATGGATGTGCATCAGCTGAATGCGCAAACGGGCCACGGGAGAGAATTTTGAAGAGAAGAGGCCGATGGATTGACATGATTGACGGCAAAAAGCTTCTTCACTGGAAGCCGTACTGTGGAAGCGTCAGCAGTAATTCCAAAACTTCAATCGACAAGTAGCTTAAGTCCCAAACCGTGCCAAACCGTGCACCTTAAATCCTCACTAATAAGCCGACAACGTAGCTGAGGTCCCAAACCGCGACAGACCCAGGCATTTGACTTGCATTTTTTTCGCAACGTCCGGCGCAAAAACGCGCTGAGCACGACAATCTTCAACCCTGGGCTCAACCATCGCATGCACAACCAACAGGGCTTGCAATGCATGCAAGACCTGCAAGAAAGTTCCAACAGTCACATCGGGGTATCAAAACTAGAAGTATCGCGCCCGATAGAACATCGGACCCAAGCCCCGGCAAGCCGAGGCACAAGAGAGGATCCATGGCGCAAGCCCCGGGATGTAAGGCGTGGGATGATAGTGATATTCTAACTTCTAACTCCTTTCGCTAATTCCGAAATCATGAACCCGAAGACTAGACCTGCTTGGGGTGTGGCAACATGGTAACCCCCTCACTGTAGCAGTCTGGCAAGAGCCATACCTGATGCTGCAGTGTTCGTATGGCTGAAGTCCGTCCCTTAGTTTAGGCTCCTCTCGCGTGTATCAACAGCTCGTTAAGCAGCAACTCGGCCAAACCTTGAATCCTAAACCTCACACCCAGGATGTAAGGTGTGCAGAACCCACCCCACATTCCTCCTCGTAATAATACATTCCCCAAACCTGAGATCCTAAAGCTTGAACTCTTTCACCCAGCGCCTGGGACGGCATGCCTGTGAATCTATCCGAAACCACGCTCTGCGAGTTGGGGGTGCAAGCTATTGGTCGGTAGGTCTATAGTCACGGGCCACGCTAGACTTGTCTTGCGAAGAAGAATCCATCCTAGTGATCCGCGTAAGGCCGGCAAAAGCACGGCTGGTTAAAATGATCTGCAGTTGAAGGCTCTAGTCATGAGCCATAGGCCCTCCGTGAGTCGCAAGCTCCTAAACGTAACCTTAGATTTAGCCTTTGGGCGCCAGGCTCGAGGCTTTAGGCTATCGGCCAGAGAGCCGTAGTTCTTCATGAGGACCCTTAGGGGTAGGGGGGACCTAAGAAGGCCCCATTTAGGGAAGTAGAGTCCCCTACCCCCCCGTCCCCCTTACCCAAATAAGGGTCCCGATGAGTTCTAGGCATAGAGTATGTAGGTTTAGCAAGGGCCCCCCTATGAGTTCTCGACGTAGAGTTTAGGTTTAGGGCCCGGGGTCTCCACTCCTGGGCTTCAGGGACCCGGTGGTCTGGCTTTCGGCTCTGGGTTTTCGTCTAGGTGCCCGCGAGTGCAAGCGTACGTCTTCGGGTTTCAGCCTGTCTCTCTCTTTAGGTTTGAAGGAGCACGCGAAACCCAAGACCTCCTCGCTGCCTGAATCTTGGACCTTGCATCCTGGACTCCTGGTCCTGAACCCTTCTCCGACTCCAGATCTGCTGCGGCCAGCATCGAAACAACCAGTTCCAAAGCAACAGCCCTGACACCATCCTGCCCCCCAACCCTTAAATTCTAGCATCGTTTATTTCGGAGAAGCCCTTGAGCTGTAGTGCATATTTAACCACTTGAGCGCCCTTAAGCCATGCCTAGTTGGAGATGGTCCTCAATATGTCTGGCTCGATGAGCGGCGCTGGAGCCCCAGCTAGGTGCCCACGGTCTTAGGTGTTGGAGTTGGGGGATTTAGAGTTCGGGGAGGTTTGGTCTAGTGGTTAGGTGCTTGGTTTTCAGACTCCGTGCTTTGATTGTGGGGCTGCAGGAGCAGCCTGCAAGAGCGAACGATTACAGATACCACCGCTGCCACTGGTGTTGATGTTGATACTGATACCACCACCACGACGACGACGACCACCACCACCGCCACCACCACCACCACCACCACCACCACGACCACGACGACGACGACGACGACGACCCTCCAAGGCCCTGCCGACCTCTCCAGAGAGCCTCGTAACCCTGAGGAATACCATAGGGTTTAGGGTTTAGGGTCTAGGCCTCAATATCTACAATACTATTTTGGAGGGGTTCCTTATACTGTAATGGGTCCCAAAACCTGAGTCTACTTATTCAGGCCCACAAAGTACTTCTTCCAGCACCGCTGCCACCAAGTTTACTTCTAAACTCAAGCCCAAACCCTTAACCTCTAAACCCGGAACCCCTAAAACCCTAAACGCCTTAAGCCCCGCACCTTAAACCCTAAATCCTTAAGCTCTAAACCCTAAACCCTTAACATCTAAACCCTAAACCCTTAAACCTTAAACCCCACACCTTAAAGCCTAGTCGACCCCACGCCCAGCATGCCCAGGATGAGCAGGGCATCTCGGAGGGTGACCTGGAATGGGCCCGGGCCGCGACTGGCAGGGCCTTCAACAGCACATTCATAATTC